GACACAAATAAATACGTTTTAACATACATAATAAAAAACTCTTACGCACTTGAAACTTTAACACTTGATAGCTCGTGACGCCTACCGGACAAAGCTACAGCACAATGTAATTGAAGATGCGTAACCGCGACATAATTCTCAGTGATTCGCAAGCATAACAGGCAGTATGTCACTTATATAATTGTCATCTCTGCAATCTATTAATCTTTGCACTTTTATAAGTAATACAGAACGTAGTTGCTAGACGGTGTTGACGTCGGCTAAAATCTCTGCGATCGCCGTTTCGTCAAGGTCATTCAGGCTAGTTAAAGCCTTAAATCTTTAGATTGTTGTTGTAATTCTGTAAGGAAACTTTTTGATTCTCTGTATTTTCTAACAAAACTTCTTCATTCGGACATGATGTTGATATTTTAGATCTAGAATTCTCAGAAAGAACATTTTTGTTTGATTTTAATTTCAAATAATGTTTTTCTTGGATTTGAGCAATTTTTGTTTTAACATTGCCAGAAAGAGAAAGAATAAGAAAGAGTGATCACTACGGCCTTGCTTGCTTTGACACGATTTTTGACTATATATTTTGATTATGATAATTTAGTATTCTACAATTTTCAATAAAAAAAGTGGTTTTAAGTCACTTGTACTATAAAATAATGTACGATACACGCAACTTTTAAGTAACCGATTATAAAAACGTGTAAAGTTAGTGCTAAAACTCGCTCCGCTCGTGTGCTGACTTCACACGGTTCAATAATAGGCTACTTAAGTCCTTTGTATCGTAATGTACTGTAATGTAAAATTATTATAAAACCATACAGAACAGATATATACAGTAATCTATGCTATACAGTCGCTAGGCTGACGTTTGCCATGCATACGAGGATAGTGCATACGTGTACAGTTAGTGTACTTGTTATCAACAGGTCTTAGTCCTTTATAAAGTAAAATAACTAATAGTAAAACACTATTAATAAAAAATATCGTATGCACAATTTGCAACGAGTAACTAGTAACTCGTGTTTCGTATCAGTTATATACACGCAGTTTTGTTTTATTTTGCATGTTCATCTTCGTAGTTTAAATATACTATTGGTAAATCCAATTGTGCATGCCTTAAGCGCATTAAAAAATTACGTATAATATTATTATACTTAATTTTCTTAAGTAGTTTAAATACACACAAGTTTTCACTTATCACCTTATAACTATACTTCCAATTTTCTGATAAAAAAGGTTGGAAAATTCAAAAGTGCACGACTCACAATGCCCAATGATAGTGAAAAAATTAAAAAAAATTGTAAATTGTAGCTCTATTCATCAATGAGTTCCAGTAGCAATCAACGAAGTACACCTTGAAGTCAGTCCGTCAAGTCCGGAGGTAAGGTCTATTCTATATATCTATTATATACTATAACCAACAAAAGGAGGCTAAACTCTGCACATCTAGTTCTCCTCGTCGAGGAGTTCCAATAACAGTCATCAAAGTACACTTTCAAGTCACTCTATCAAGTCCGGAGGTAAAGTCTAATCATAACTAGCAAAACGAGCCTAAACTCGGCACATCTAGTTCTACTCATCGATGAGTTCCAGTAGCAGTCATCAAAGTACACTTTCAAGTCACTCTATCAAGTCCGGAGGTAAGGTCTCATCATAACTAACAAAACGGGGCCAACCTCGGCACATCTAGTTCTCGTCGAGGAGTTCCAGTAGCAGATACCGACACACCTTCAGGTCTATGAAGTCCAAGACGTATAAGTATATTTATATATAAATCCTGTGTGCTTTTAGTGAAACAAAATATTGTAATAAAAATCTGTGATTATAAAAATAATAAAAAATAATTGGTAAATCCAATTGGGCATGCCTTAAGCGCATTAAAAAAAATTACGTATAACATGATTATACGACATTTTTTAAAGTAGTTTAAATACATTTCGACAGCACTATCGGCTTCAACACTCTCGAAAACCATGAAAATGACACCCATGATGAATAAATTAGTACCTACTTCAGCCACCATGGATTTACATTTCAACAGCACTATCGGCTTCAACACCCTCGAAACCCATGAAAATGACACCCATGATGAAAAATTTGATACCTATTGCAGCCGCCACCTTGGATTTACATTTCGACAGCACTATCGGCTTCAACACCCGCGAAAACCATGAGAATGACACCCATGATGAAAAAATTGATATCTATTGCAGCCGCCATCTTGGATTTACATTTCGATAACCCTATCGGCTTCAACTCTCTCGAAAACCATGAAAATGACACCTATGATGAAAAAATTGATACCTTTTGCAGCCGCCATCTTGGATTTACATTTCGACAGCACTATCGGCTTCAGCACCCTCGAAAACCATGAAAATGACACCCATGATGAAAAAATTGATTTCTATTGCAGTCGCCATCTTGGATTTACATTTCGACAACCCTATCGACTTCAACTCTACCGAAAACCATGAAAATGACACGCATGATGAAAAAATTGATACTTATTGCAGCCGCCATTTTGGATTTACATTTAAACAGCTCTATCGGCTTCAGCACCCGCGAAAACCATGAAAATGACACCCATGATGAAAAAATTGATACCTATTGCGGCCGCCACCTTGGATTTACATTTCGACAACCCTATCGGTTTCAACACCCTCGAAAACCATGAATATGTCACCCATGACAAAAAAATTGATACTACTTACTTTTAGTACGTACTACTATTATTTATTCTGTGTTTTTAAAATATTGTAATAAAAAAATTCTCTTATTATTATTATAATCAAGTATTTAAGAAATTTGGTTATTCGAATATTGTGTATTTATACAGCGATCTTTTTGAGCCGCTGCAAACAACCGAAACAATGTCCACTCGCGACGGCGATTGACGCCGAACTGAGTGTGAGTAAACTACTCTGTGGCTGTAGCTCCCCATTTACAGAAATAATTTACATACAAGGCTACCAAATCAAAGAAAATTTCGCCACTTTGGAGCCGAAAAAAAATAATTATAGCTAAACAAAACAAAATTACACTGCCATTTACATTCAGTGGCTTCCCACATGATAGATGAAGAGATAAAAAAATAGATTGAGTTAAACAATTGATATTTTCAAAAGTTATCGTGTTTACAAGCATTGGGAACATGATAAATCGAGGCCATAAGCCACTAAACCCCTTTTTTATTTAAAAATAGCAAATTGGAATATTTTTTATTTCTACGGCGATCGAAATTTTTCTGCACGACCCGCTGTAACAAACGACCACTCACAACTGCATTTGAGCCCGGAGTAAATACTAATAAAATGCTCTGTGGCTTTGGCTCGGAGTGCGGCTGCGGCCTATTTAGTAAAATAATTAATACAAGACTCGCAATTCACTGAAAATTTCGCCGTTTCTTAGCCGAAAAAAATCATAACTAAACAAGACAAAATTAAACTGCCATTTATTTACATTCCATGGCTTCCCACATGATTGATGAAGAGTTTTAAAAATAGATTGAGTTGAGCAATTAATATTTTGACTTGATAAATCCACACCATAAGCCACTAAAACCCCTTTTTTATGTAAAGATTGTAATTAATCGATTTAAAAAAATATATTAATAAGTTCAACAATCATTTATCTTTCTGACAATGTGCTTTTAATATAATTTATGTGTATAATATGATTGATAAATACGAATTCATGCGACAAAACGTTGGAATCTTAATGTTTAGGCCCTTAGAACATACCTGTGCGCTTCGCGCTTAAGGCATGCAATAGTTTATTATTATTTTTGATGGCCGACAATATTTATTTTAGAGTGACAACAAATTATGATTCAGATATAATGGAAAATAGAACCAAACTATAAATAACCCATATTTTCCCATTAAGAGAAAATTTCCAATTAACCGAGTAATATAATATTATAACGATATACCGTTATTAGCGGGTTTTCGCTAATGATACTGTGCATGTTGATAGTACGGACTCGATGAGCCACCAACCGCCATTTCTAATCCCTTTCTTTATTCGTGCGGACTGTAGCTGGCATACAAATTTAAAAAGATTGTTAACATTAGCGCCTGCCAGTATCGGGTAAGGGTATTAGTGTTCTGTGGTATCGGGCGACCTCCCGTTCAGGCTCCGACGTGGAGCGCGTAAAAAGGAAAAACGGTGCGATGCTTGAAGGGATATTAAAGAAAACAGCATTAAATGTGAACACCACAGAACACGTAATATCTGTCTATATAATATAAAATTATTTATGATGTTTTTTGTACTTGTTTTTATATCTATCGAGGAATTTCCAAAAGGCTTTTCATAAAATCCATATAAACCCAAAATTCGTTATCTATTAGTTGCTTCAATTTGTAAGTGAGCTTGATCATTATTTCATAACCATCAAAACGGAGCAATGACTTATTTTCTCACTCATTATAGCATCATGTAGAATTTTTAATGCGTTTTATTAAAAGACATGAAAACTGTTTAAACACACGCTCTGAGTTTATATTTTTGTCTTGTAAGACATCTAAATCACCCAAAATCAAGATATTTGGTGTCCCGATCATGGTTAAACGAGATGTGTCCACAGGTCCCCGGAAATCGAGATGTGAAAAACTGAAGGTAGCCGGGCTAACTATGACATCGGGACGTCTAACATCTCAGTCCCTCCCGTGACCATGGGCTGCTGTTAAGCACCCGAAACGTCGGGCATTAAAATAAAAAACACGCGATAAATTCCACAAATATAGTTTTATTCAATGTGTAGTGTTCGCGTAAATAATATAAGAAATCATTATTAATCATTCGATTAACTTCCTTCTATAATAGATTTTAAAACTATACTGGCGCTAAGTTACTTGCATTAACAATGTGATCGCGTCAAACGATTTTATAATTGATAAAGAATGTTAAGTTCGGTTGTTCGCGCATGAAAAGAGCGCATGTCGCATTCATTATACCCGTATAAGTAGCGGTTTAGTATCGTCCGATTCAGTTAGTTATTCGCCATGTTCCTGTATAGTGCAGTTGTGCTCTCTGCGCTGGCTCTCGCCTCCTCGACCGAGGTGCAGCAATGTCCCGGTGAGTACTTTACGTAACAATCGACCCGCTTTCCATTCGGATTGCCTTCATGGAAGGTATACAAAACGAGACAATGCGATCTGGTTGAACGACGCATAGTTATTTGTGTTTATTATTTTTAAGTAGTTTTTCAAAATTAATAGAATGTTTATTTAATTTAAATTTTAGGAAAGGCCAATTGAAGGAGTTGTTTCAATCCATAAGTTGAAGAAACCGAAACAACATTAGTAGGTTTATTCGTCCACCCATTGCAGTCTATCAAAAGTATTAACATAGATCTTCCCAATAGGCCTTGTAGCAGAGATATTTGCCATAGTTGCTACGCTTGGCAAGCTGGTTGGCAACCACAGTTTGTTTTTATTTTGAGTTGTTATTAGAATGATGCCGCTGCCCATCGCCATTTCCCTGTCGTATATTAAAACATCTACGAAATGTGAAAACGTAGTGAATTATAAGACGAATATTAGTAGGTACCTACATAATAGTAAATATTAAAATAATTGCATAACCATGGTATTATAATTTATTTACAGACTTTCTTTTTGTTACAAGTTATTTATGCTTAATTTACATTGCTTAATGATAAATACGAGTCAAATGAACTTAAATATTAGTTAAAAGTGATTTGGACTATTGTTTATTCTGCTTAATAAGAAATTACTATTTTTGTGAATACAATTATTCATGACATTTGTATAGCGCGTGTTAATATAGGTAATATAAAAATTGTAAAACATTTAATTACACTGTAATAATATATTGGACTTATATTTATCTAAAGATACTTATAAATTTACATTAATTTATGCAAACAATATCCTAGAAATCTAGCTTCCACGAATAATAAATGTTTCACAATTATCTGGTCCTCTTTATAGTTAGGCTAGGAGGAAATAAATTTCTATTCCGACCTTTAACCTACGTTTATGGAGTAAGGAAAGAGAATCATACTTAATTACTGCACTGGAATTCATATTCGAAGTGTGAACAGTCCCCCGAAATCCTTAACTCATAGAAACAAATATATTTAGCAATAACATTTTTAATTTTAAGAAGACAATAATCAACTCTTTTGATTTGAAAAGTTAAAATTTTACAATTTCTTTCATTTGTCATCGTATTAAAAAAATTTATAATTATATTATTTCATTATGATATTAGATTATAAATTGTTTATAAATAGGTAAAATTAGCTCGCCCACGATGCATGCCGTGGTAACCTATATCTAATTAAAACAACATTTAGTTCTTAATCCTAGAATATAAGTATTGTAACATAATAAATAATACATGTCTTGTTGGTTATCCTTAATAAAATAAAATAAAAAATCCTTCATTCAACATTTAGCTAGTAGGTATTTTTACGTCCGTGCAGGTTGAATGAATATCTCGTGTTCATAGCTGAATATTATTTCATGCAGCATTATCTATTATTTAATTATATTTACCGTATTACGAAGTATTATAAATCCGTGCATAGGACACTATTGCTCTCTACCGCGAAATTAGTGTTTTTCACGAAAACTCTTTGTGTGTGTCACTTTAGAGTTTCTAAAAATTAAAAAACTAATTAAATTTTTTAATTAAAAATTTTAATTTAAATTTTATTTAAATTAAAATTTAAAGATAATTTCTCTGTTATATTCACAAAGTACTTTTATATAATATAGTTGATTGAAAGTTATTTTACAAAGTACTTTTGTAGTGTACTGTACCTTTGTAATAATTATGGATTCCTTTTGTGAGAATTATTTGGCAGCAGCAAAAGTAAAAAAGAAAAGGGTTATGCAATCCCCGTCCCTGATAAATTAGCAATTTTGTAAATCTGATTTAACAATTCTTTCATTGCACGTTTCATGATATGAAGTTATTATCTATAACTACTGAGCTTCTACTCAATAAACGCTTTCACGCTGACATTGGCGAATGATCAAAACCGCCATAAAAAAGAAAGAAGAAGAAGAAGAAGAAGAAGTTATTATCTAGCGCTAGAGGAATGTTTAGTTGTCAAAATTCGGGCAGTCTTCAAGCAACCCCTAACTTCTATCAAATTGGAGATTTATTCTGTCTTTGAAATGCTTAAAGACTTTTCTCTTTTCTTTTGAGAAAATTCTAAACATAGTGCCTAAATTGTCCCCTCTAGCGGAACTCCCATTTTGGTTACGAATTCCAGTGTTGTTAGTGGATATAAAATTTTGTCTTTAGGTTTCAAAACAATAAAATATTTTTTTATTTTTTACCTTTATCACAGAATAAATAATAGTACCACATACAGAAGTTGCACTCCTTTGATGTTGACTGCTTGCCGACGTTTTAATAGCCTACATAGTTATTATTAATCAGATTAATCACGCCCGCAAGCTAAATAAAACTTTATCGCTGCGCGCGAGTGTCCGTAGTACTTTGCATCTTTTCTCCTTCCTACGTCACGACGGCCTTTCCGTGGTTACTAAGGACTCTTAATAAAGAGTAAAAACATACATTGTGAAATGGTAAGTTACTTAGGTAAAGTACCTATGCTGACTATAATAGACCATATTTCCGCTACTAAGTGATGCCCAACGCATGCAACTTGCAAGGCCATTCGTCGGGAATCGCGATGCTTAGTTCGTATAGGTAGATAGCGTTAACAACAAATAAACTCGAAATACGATTCCTAACAGAAATATGATCGTAATCTACTTAGTTAAAAATCTGTACTGGGTACTGAAGTAAATTTCAACTAAGTTTTCTTATAAAGTACTTAGGTATTACTTCTGTAGTTAGTATATTACACTTCTAACAAAAAAAAATTAATAAATTCACCTTTCATTATCCTTCGGTAACTTAAAAATTGATATATCTGAATCTGAATCCTTTTAATTGATTATAAAGCATCCATCCCAGCAAGAATTATAGTAGGAAAGACATTTTGCCATTATAATTTATCAAATAGATAGGTAATATACATGTAAGTACATATATTATTCTTAAATCACATTTAAACTTTTTCAACTATTTTATCCTACAATTAAATATACCAAATACTAAACAAAAACTATTTCTACGAGTATTTACAAAAAAACTATTTACGTAAACAGCGTTAAAAAAAACTAACATTCAATCGCCTAGAACGCGCTAGCCCCGATTGCGATCTACCCCTGGGGCGCCTCGCGATTGTAGGTAATTATTTCATGCAGGTAGCAAGAGTGACAGAGACCTGCCTTTATCTAAATTGGTTTGTACGGGTGTAATTTTAAAAATCAAATGTAGGTAAAAATGTACTAATCCACTTTTATTAACATGAGATAGTGATAGAGAGACAAAGAAGCAGACACCATCTGATCGCAATATAAGTGAATTCCCTGCACTGAAGCCATCTACAACTATCCTCGATTAAGATCAGAATCCATACGCAGATGCGCTCGACCTCGAGGTCTAAGATGGAATGCCTCGTTGTCAGTAAAAAGTGTCTCCGGTTCTCTAGAATCACTATAAACAGCACAGCAGCCTACTCCCACATATCACATACCTACTACATTTAGCTGGCATACGAGGTCCCGCTATTTTAACTTAGTGTCCACTAGAGTTGCCTACACTACTCAAAACTCTTAAAATTATATTACAGAACTTGATGAAATTTAGAGCTCGTTCTATTAAGTTATATTTGTTTTATTATATTACTTAAATTAGAACTGTATTCGTGACTGGTCGTCGCTGCTGGTGATGAGAGAGCTGGTTCTTTTGTCGCTCAAAGGCAAAATGTAACCATTCAGCGAGGAGACGTAGCCATCGTTTTTGACACGATACCACGGGGAGTAGGACTGTATGACAACTTAATTTTTTTGTTTTGATTTTTCTTTATTATATTTTTTTAAATACTGTGTGTAACCTTGTGTGACGCAGATTTTGGCGTAGTTGTCACGCTTGGCAAGTGGGTTGGCAACCACAGCTTATTATTATACTGAGGTGTTATTAGGAAGATGCTGCAGCCCATCTCCTGTTTCTCCCAACGCTACACAGCTGCCTATAATGATACTATGCTATCTATTTAATATTATTAGTAGCTTGTTTTTTTTTTAATTCTATGCAGATATAGTACTCCGCACAAAGAATAACTTAATCAATCATTAATTTCTTTGTGTTTTTGAAGAGATTTTTAAAAAGCGACGTTCGAGTGAAGCGGTTAGTCATGCAGTACCTATTCGATATTCGTCTATGATGAATGCCGCTAAGTACATAAAAGATTTTTTCAAAAGAAGAGCGATTTAGAAATAAGTAAATTAAAAAGCAAATATTATTTTCGAACATTTGCCGAAGAGCTTTAACGAGCGGTAGAGTACACATATGTGTATGTATAAATATGGATTCTAATAGTGTTAATTCGTACGTCGATTTTAAATCGTTTTAGGTGTTAATTTATGCAATATTTTTTTTACAAATCTACCTAATGCATAAATTAACATACCTTTTAAATATACTATTTTACCATTAAAAATAAGATATGCTAAGATCCTTACACAAATATCCCTGTCATAGGCTTTAATAAATATCCATTGTATTATTACTTGTTCTACACATTTACCGAATATTAGAATAATGGGTAGTCGATGGATGCAGGTGGCTGAGAACCGTAGTTAGTTTGTGGCAATTTTATAATGGGCGGTAGTGATAGAGGTGATAGACCCTTTTTGTGTACTTACTTGTAACTTCTACCCCCTCTATATATTACTAACTACAATAATTTGGTTTAATTATTTGTTTCATAATATTGTATTTTATTTTTGAAAACATACATATTTTTAAACGTAAAAGTTAGGCATCTATTTTTAACTTTTACGTGGTAGAGCCATGCTGCAGCTATATTAGTAGTATAGTTGTAGCACGGATGGGTCGGCTCGACCGGGGTAGGACCAAGCTCTCACAGAATATCAGCGTAAAATAGTACTGTAGTACTTAACACTGCTATGTTTCGTATGGTGAGTATGGAGAACCGGAGACCATTTTTACTGGAAAAGAGG